ACGTAACGTAACGACGACCACTAGTATACTACTACTCTACGTAACGTAACTACGGTAGTTACGTTACTTAGTAGAACCGTAACCTACTACTACTAAACAAATAAGATAGAAACGAAGGTTAACGTAGCCTACCTCTCTCTCTCTCTCTCTCTCTCTCTCTCTCTTGCAGAGAGCAAAAAGCAAGAGTCCATGTTATAGCGCCGGTTCAGCAATCTGCTGCACCATCAGAACCCTTGGACTCAATAATAGCATACTTACTTCAGTTACATTATTATCAAGACAGGATCGACTCAATTAGTGCAGTCTTGTTTGAATGACTCTTATACCAACCAAAAACCATTAGCCATTGAGCTCCTTTTGTCTATTGAAACCTCAGAAAAGAAACAAACACGGACTTGCTGATTCAACCATCAAGAAGAAATCCAAGACATGGATCCCGAAGTGAAACCCCAAGGAAAAATTGAAGCTTATACAAAGGGTTTACATGCTCTCTCTCAAGGCAAGTACATCATGGAACTTGCTGTGGTTAATGAAACACCAAAGCCAGAAAGTCATCTACCTATGATTTTTTTTTCTGAACTTTTTAGAGACTTGTTTGAAAGTTTCACTTCTTTGCCACAGTGGAATTACTAAGATCGTAAGGCATTTTTTCAGACCCAACAACTAATTGGGCTAATAGGAAAGCACAAGATTCTCATTGGTCAGAAAACTATTGAAAAATGCATAGGTATGAGAGTGTTACAGTTCAAATAAAAATACTCGGCATGCTTTATTTTCAACTAAATATTATATGGGTATAATTGTATTTTTGCCATTATAATCCATAAAGGCACATATCAATATAAACTTGCAACCTTATTTGTAGAAATAAAGTCGTAGTAATCTACACCGTAATGTTAACATGTTCAAAAAGAATAAAAAAATAAAAAATCAATAAAGGCACAATCACCATTACATACGATCTGAATTAAAGAATAAAGGCTAACGCTTGTTTAGTTTTATATGCTATGTATCTAATCCAATCTTTCTAATGTGATTGTCGCATACCAATGAAACTAAAAGAAAAGTTCTATAGGATTGCAGCAGAACCAGCCATACTTCATGAGACGGAATGTTGGGCGGGCGTCTAGAAATAACATATCCATAGAATGAGTGTGGCTAAGATGAGGATGTTGAGATGGATGAGTGCCAAGACAAGACATGATAGAATTCGGAATGAATACATTTGAGCGAACTTAGGGATAGCTCCTATAGGAAATAAAATAAGAGAAAGTAGATTGAGTGGTCTAGCCATGTGCAACTTCGATCTTGAACAACACTGATTAGGAAAGGTGGTGTGGTTCAAGTGGAAGGCTCTAAAAGGACAAGGGTGTCCAAAAGGATATGGATGAAAGTAATGAGAAGATGATTTATGGTCTGACTAAAGGTATGGCTATTGATAGAGCAGAATAGTGGAATAGGATTCATCTAGCCTACTCCAAATAGTTGGGATAAGGCTCAGATGATGGTGATGGTGTATTTAATCTTTGATTGTCACTTGAATTTCTTTTATTTTTTCATGAAAGGAAATTTTGACAGAAATGGCCCAGTGTGTAGTACACAATCCACTAACTTCCTCTAGAATTTGAAAACATAAAAAGAAGCTTGTCAATAATTAAATAAAGAATATTAGAAAATGTCAATATGTTAACACTTTTTTTAAAAAAAAAAAAATTGTTGAAGTCGTCTTAGTCCAAACATGAGAATAACTCATTTTAGAAGATTATAAAGTATAATGCTCATCTCATAAGTAATTTTCTTTTGGGGATTTATATGCAAATTTCCCATTCCTTTTTCCCAGTACAAGTGGCACACCATGTAGTGAAACAAACAGTGCTTCAAGTGCCATCAGGATTAACAAATATGCCACAATCTGGGTCCAACACAATTTCTAATCACTATATCCCTCCTGAAAGACAGAAGTACCCTAACACCCAACTTCAAAATCCTTAACAATTATTACATCTCAAGGAAAAAAGGTCCCGCTATGGCACTTAATTGAGGTAAAATACAATGTTCATCAGGTTAGGACTTAGTGGGTTAAATCGGTAACTCTGCATTACCACAATTCAAACTTATTTAATATAATATTAATCAAATACCAAAATAAATCTTAAAAATAGAAATACATAGTAAAATTCTAGAAAAGCATAGAGAGAGAGAGAGAGTGATAGAGGACCATGAGAAAGAAAGTAAAACATCAGCCCATATATTCCTGAAGTTTATGCATTGGCTTGGCTCTTAAAATTAGAATATGATTTTATTGAACTACATATTTCAAAAAGAAAATGCCAAGTTTATTATTTATTAAGAAACTTTTGAACTCGGTAAGAAAGACGTTAAAGCAAGATCGAGTCTTGCAACACAGAATAGTCCGTAGAATCTAGACAACTCAAGGTATGCTATAACCTGAGCTGTTTCTTTTTTTCTTTTTCTTTTTCTTTTGCTTTATTTTTTGCTTGTTTTCATCAAATCCAATATGAAAGTTTAGTTAATGTTGATACAGATGCTTTCGTAAATAAGCAAACTAGGAGAGCATGCCAGCTACAAATGCATGATGGACTAATAGAAGAATGAAGGCAAATATAAATACATGCATCATCCAAAAACATGTGGCACACAATCAAATAGCCAACTCCAGTAAGTCATCCCACATGAAGTAGAGGAATTCACGAGCACATGCATGGATGCTTACAATGTTCTAGCATCACTGACACCAGGGGAAGCACATTTTCAACTAGAAAATCTATGAAAACATGATCAATAATAGTATATATCACACAAAATGAAGGGATTTGATTCACATAGACTGAACATAATTCCATTCAGCTTCAAATTTGATCATTCATAGTCAAACTTCACATACAATTCCTCTTTGAGGTAATATTTCTGACTTTTTTTCCATTTTTTAATCAAAATGGAAAGAGATCCTTCTTCTTCTGTATTTATTCATCATTTCGTTCCCCTCTCAATTTTTTGGCATGATTTCGGATTTTAGTAATAAACAATCCAGCACCCAAAATTTTAGCAGTCTCGTGACAATTTGCTAAAGGCATCTGATAAACATTTAGGTAAGCCAGCACGTCTTACCATAAACTTGACATGCAATAGGCCTATGGATATATTGAGGAATGCCTATGCATATATTGAGGCATTCTAACTCAGAAATACTTAAATTAAAATTACATTAAAGTTAACACTTGGATAATGCAAATTTAGGGATCAATGTAGCTAAGAGTAAGAAATTTAATAGTCGATATGCATATATTCATTTATAAATATTGAAGCTGTAGCAAGTAATACACTGACTGTGTAGTAACAATTGGAGCACTCTCTATCTATGTTATGCCTAAATTCATAAGGAAAATGTGCATAATCTATACAATGTAGTTAAGAGTAAAAACTTTAATAGTTGATATGCATATATTCATGTATAAATATTGAAGCTGTAGCAAGTAACACACTGACTGTTTAGTAACAATTTGAGCACCCTCTATCCATGTTATGCCTAAATTTATAAGAAACATGTGCATAACCAGACAAGCAATAAAACAGTGATTACCACCAATTTTGAGCACTCTCTGTCTTATTGACCATTTTTCTCCTAAAAAATTTGCAAAGATAAAAATGCATATGCACCAAATAAGAGATAATATGTGCATTTACACAAAAGTCATTACCCGTAAGTCCCTCAAGGAACCACTCCTGGAGAGGCCCATCAATCGATGAGGCCTTTTGATTTTCCAAGTAAGCATTTCTAGAAGTGGAAGAACGAGCTCTCCGACGCAAAGTTTCTCTATATAGTGCTGCATTTGAAGCAGCAGGTATAGCAGGTGTCATAGCACTAGCAATTGTCAATCCATTTCTCAGAGCTTCACCATCTGGAGCCATGGTTTGTTTCTCACTCTCCCTTCCAGCTGAAGATGCCACTGCTTTCTCACTTGCAAGAACAGCATGAAGAATCAAATTGCCATCTATTTTCACAAGTTTATCATTTCTAGGAACATAAAGTGATGCCACCATAGGTTCACTGGCATTGTCAGGTCGCACAGATCCCTTGGTATCAGAGAAAGGAAGTGAGTGAGAGCCCCGTTCTTTTTGCTTCGCTTCCATCCCTGAGTCCCTATACCCATCTCTCTTATGCTTAGCATAATCCCAATTTTCTTTTCCAAAGTCACCATTTACAAGATCAATTACTTCTCTTTTATCTGAAGTATTTACATGATCCCTAATTATTAAAACCCTTCCTTTGGGGGGGACCCCTTGATCACTGATTTTCCCATGTCTAAAGTCTAAAACTGGAATTAGACCTCCAAAAAACAATAAGAATAAGAAAAACCCCAGGAAGCTCACGCTTGCAACCTTCTTGATTCTCTTTGATGGTTTTGAACCGTCCCCATCTTTCCCATTCACCTTCGATGATTTCCTACCTTTAGATGAAGATACAGTTTGTTGGGTTCTCAATCTAGGTATTGGGAGCAATGGGACTTGCGAACCAGGGGGAAACCCTAATCCATTTTGAGGGTTCATAGCATAAGAAGAACAAGGAACCCAAGGAAAATGGGAAGGTAACGAAGAGGGTTGTGCATATGCATTAGAAGTTGGGGAGAGCGCAATCAATTGATGCCGTAGATTCATATTTTCAGCTGTGGCAAATGAAAGCCTAGAATTCAATTCTGCAATTGTTGAATGCATGGCTCTTACCTTGTCTTCAAGCTCATCAACATAATGCTTCTTCCTCTGTCGTGAAAGCTGAGCACTCTCTCTGTTTCTCATAAGCCTCGCCTTCTTCTTCTCCTCCTCTTCGTTGTTAGAACTAGGAGATCCATCTTCTCTCGCTTTCTTCCTTTTCCCTTGAAAAGAAACCAAAGGTTCAGACTTTGAAAGCCCACTGGTGAAAGTATCACCAAAATTCATGCTCGAGCTCCCGTGCCCAGAATCTGGAGATGGCCGATCCTTGTAATCAGCAGAAACCTGACTACATTGTAGAGATTGTGGGCTCTCAGAGCCTAAAACCCCAGGATCCCGAGTTCCACAAAAACCAGTCATGGAGCTCGTGTTACCAGAATCTATCAACAATTGGTTCTTATTGTCAGTGCAAACCCTAATCTCTGGAAAAAATGTTGCAGTTTCAGAGTTGGTAACACTTTGGATCGAAGGATCACAGGAAGCCAAAACTGAACCAGAGGAATCCACTTCCGGATCTCCATTAGTATGATCTGAAGACAGTGAAGCTGGAATCTGAGACCCTTGTACCTCGATGTTGATGCTTGAATCACCATTGCTCAAATAACCAGAATCTCCAGAGTTCATCAAGGACTGGCAATTTTGACCAGAATCTGGCAAAACCCCGCTGTTATTGCCGGAACCTGGCGATGATGGCAAGAGAATATCATCAAGGTCAAAGTTAAGATCATCATCAGAGAACTCAATACCATCCATCAAAGTCTGAGGAAAATCCATATCGTTGAAGAGTCCATCTGTATAAGCCGGATCAAGGGGAGGTATTTGCAGGGCTTCGAAATCAGATGGTAAATAGTGGGGAGGAGGGTCACCAGTGACCCAATGATCCTCCATTGCTGCCATTCTAGGGCTTTCAAACTTTATAGGGTCTTCGACTTTATAAGGCTTATTCGATATAGACACTTGAATCGTGCACCCGATCAAAGAGAGCCTACCAAAACGCGATCAGAGAGAGCTATCAAAGCTTATAACCCCTTCTAAGGAAGTTCAAACAGAGCTCAAGCAAGTAGAACATTAGGGTTTACTAAAAAATAAACCCCCAGAGGAAGAGCGATATACGAAATTAGGGTTTCGCCATTGTTACGGTTTTGAACCCGAAAGTTCGAAGTAGTTAGTGAGAGAGAGAGAGAGAGGTTCAAAGTGTACTGTAGAGAGAGAGGGGTCTATGATTAAGGAAGTTGCTGGAAAAATGCCCGTGCTGCGAAAAACACGTGTGCGACGACACGTGGGAGTTTTTAACGTCCTTCGGGCATAAAGACGCTCGTCCCTATTATATGGTTGAGATTTTTGTATGACCTCGGCTTTATGGAAACAAAATAATGTCTCACCTCAAATCCTCAATTAAATCTCGATGGCCAGCTAAATTCAATTTCAAATATAGTAAAATTTAAAACTCAAAATATGGTACAGATATTACAGATACGTGAGTACCTATGTTTAGGGCGAAATGGATAGTCTTGAGCTTGAAATCGGAATTTTTATGTATAATTATAATGTTTAAGTCAAGATACTCGATAAATTGTAATTTTTGATGAGTTATAAAATGAAGCTTTATTTATTTTGGTAAGAGTTGCAACCCTAGCAAACAGGTTTTCTATTTATATTAAAAAATATATTCCTTGCACATCCCGATACGTATTTCTACATTTGTGTCCCCTAATGTATTCGATATCCATTTTAAAAATAAATGCAAATGGTTTGCCCATCCAAAAAACAGTTGAATCTAATGGTCTAAATATTTATTTCATAAAATTACAATGTTTCATTTTAAAAAAAATATTTACTTTTTTTATATTCATGATCTTTATACTAGCGATTATATGCCCTTCAAATTTGAGTCAAAAATCCATCATCCTTTAGTTTTGTACTTATCTTGATTCTTAACTCGACCTGTTGATCATTCTCCCATCTTGACCTCTCTTTTATTTCGAATAAGCTCTCTCTCTCTCTCTATCTCTCCCATCATCTCTCTCTACCCTCTCATTTTTAAATAATCTTGACCTCTCTTTGTAACCTCATTGATCCTCATCTCCCTCTACCCTCTTCTTGATACATCTCTCTCTACCCTTTTACCCTTTCTTTTTTTTTAAATATTTTTTATCTATCTCTCTCTAGTCTCTATCTTCATTTTACCTCATCTCTCTCCACCCTCGCATTGATTCATCTCTCTGTCCTCTCTCTACTCTCATTGATTGTTCTCTCCCTACCCTCTCTATGTCCTATCTCTACCCTCTAATTAATCTAATCCAATGATTTAAAAAATTGATCTTTGATGCAGATCAGGTACCAAAAAAACCGGTTTGAATCAGTAAATTGGTGGTTTAGATCGTCGTTTAATTAAGCAGAAAAACAATAAACCAGAGAATAAACACTTGACAAAACAGTAAACTTTCAAAAAACTCATATGGTGAATCAACAATCTAGATCGCCGTTTTACTATAGAGAGTCATTGTTTTACTATGGGAACCACCAATTCCCTTTGAGACCCAACCTTTTTCAATATATACATTGAACCGTAACGGGTGGCTGATTTTCATATCAGCCATATGTTTTTTATTTTTTTTCTTTTTCACACATTTTCCTTTCTTTTGGCAAATATCACTTACAAGTAGTCTTATTACAATAGCTATTGCTTCAAATAAAATAAAACTAACAAATCCAATATCTTAAAAACCTTGATGCCACTAAACCAAATTTATCTAATCAAATAAAGTAACCATAATTATTTATGCTTGATAATATAAATATTATATAATTAAATATGGTACAAAATAAAAAGATAGTACCAGATATTACCTCAATCGGATTTATTACACTTCACACTGAGTCACCACTATCCGATGTTGTGGGATCAACGATCATCCTTCATTTCTCACGTTTAGGCCAAACCCTCAAATGAAACCATAAACTCATCTTGATTACAAATCCTAAACCTTAGGTACAACCCATGAAACCTTTAAGAGATACAAGATCTACTAACTTCTATTACCCAACCCTTTAGATCATTGAAGCAAGATGAGAGATAGAGAGATCTATTTGAAATGCCCCTATTTATATCGGCTCCCATCATATCCATCATAGATGATTGGCTATTTAAAATATTTATTTGGGTAGATGCTTGTGGAGAAGGAAGCAACCACTCAAACGCTAACTTGGTTAATTTGACCATCGTAATAACTATTTTCGAGTGATTTGGCAAGTTGTTGATATTTTTACGAAAACAGGTTCTATGCGGCCAGCCCGCGTAATGTAAAAATGCGGGCTTGGCAATAAATATATTTTTTAATATAATTTGATCTTAATTTTTAGAGAATATATAATCTTTTAATATGGAGATCATGAATATGGAAAAAAAAAAAAGTTGAAAACTAAAAATAATAATTATATTAAAAAAATAAATATCTCCATACCCTATATTTTAAAGTTTTATATCTCAATAAACCCAATATTTCAAAATATATCTTGTAACATAGAAACCTTAACTCTTATATTTTCTAACCCCTAGAATGATTTACCCACTTTATTCATTTTATTTTAACCCAAACAATTTGTTTAAAGATAACTCTTTATAAACCACATCATTTTTCTCTTCCCATGATATTTTCCTTATTTATCTTTCTTTCTCTTTCCACCGTGACTCTTCCCAACCCTTCTCTCTCTCATTGTATTACCTCTCTCCATCTCTCACATCCTAAAGTATCTATCTCTCTCTCCGCGGTGACTCCCTAATTCCTCTCTCTTCCCCAACTTTTCTCTCCACTGTCACTCTTTGTAATTTATCTTTTTTTCTCTCTCTATGGTGACTCTCCCTACTTTTTATATCTTGTGCTAACAAAATAACTCTTGGTGACAAGAAGACAAGCAGAGGGCACTAGCTATAGGAAATCAAAGCAGATGTCTTTGGCTATGTGATCATTTGGACACAGTGACCTCCAATTGATCGATGGGTCGGGGTTGCAATAGGGCAATAGGGTTTTAGATCTGTAGGTTTTTTCAATAGAGTTTGTGGTATATTGGGGTTGCAAAAGAAGCTAGATAATTTTTTGTATAAGAGAGGAGAAAGAGACGATGTAGAGAGGGTATTTACAACTTTGGGTATCAGAGAGAGAGATGGAGGTTTGAGAGAGATACGTGATTTCAGCGAATGATGATACTTTGGGTTTTTTTAGAGAGTTTGTGGTTTAATTTTCAGAGAGAGAGAGGAGACAGGGACGATGAAGAGAGGGTTAACTTTGGGTACTAGAGAGAGATGAAGTGTTGTGAGAGTGATGGTGATTTGATAGAGATAGTGCTTTGAGAGATAGGTTTCATTTTAGTATTTGTGTGGGTCAAAAATTACCAATGAAAGGGGCAATATAGAAAAGATAGACACTTTATGCTACAATTAGCATTTGCAAACATTGGGTTTAATGAGAAATAGAAGGCAAAAATAGGTGGATAAGGAGATATTTTCCCTATATTTTATGGGGTCTAGGTCTAAGGCATATTTGGTTCGCATGAAAATATTTATTGAGAAACATTTTTACGTGAAAAATCAATGTATATAATTAGGTATGATAACATTTTCATACTAATTAGCTGCTAAAGTGTAAAAAAAACTCACTGGAACCGATCAGTGTTAAAATATTACCCCACCTACTACATGAAGAAATATTTTACGTGATCGGAAAATATTATCATGCGAAACAAATATGCCTCGAGAGAAGATACTCTAGCTTAAAATGTGGAATTTTAGTAATAGAAAATGAAAATTGTTTCATGTGGGCTAGACAACATGGCTACATATGCAGTTCAAAAAGTGTACAGCATCCATTTTAAATATGGATGCAAGTAAGTGTTCCATCTAAAAACAATGAAAACTAATGGTCTAAATGTTTTCTTACTATAATTATTATTTAAAATTTTTAAAATTTATTTATTTTTTCATATCCATTATCTCCATATTAGAGATTACATATCATTAAAAATAAGGAAAAATTACAAAAACCCCCCAAAATACATTATCTATACAACTTACCCCCATCAAAACGTTTTTTCTCACTTTTTTCCCAAAAGTATACTTTCTATGCAAATACCACCCAACCAAAAAAGTTATTTTATTTTTTATGGAAATGCCCTTCCTGTACAAAAAAAAACTAATTGGCGCTAACTATCGGACCTAAGTAGCACATTGGCTGAGCGTAGTATGCAACTACCAGAGCGCACTGTCTAGAACATATATTGTCAAAGAGCCTTCGGATACTGTCGGAGCATTGTGACTCCAGGACAAGTACAGCCGGACCCTATTCAACTATTGGAGCACCTCGTCTCTAGAACAAAGCACTGTCGAAGTGCCTCGTCTCAAAAACAAATATTGCCGGAGCGCGTTTTGCCACTGGCGAAGCGCTATGGTCTCCAGAACACGCACTGCTGGAGCGCATGTGTCTCGAGTATTGGAGCGGCTTATGTAACTGTCAGAGCGCTGTGGCTCCAAAGCATGAATTGGCAGAGTGCCCTTTGAGACTGCTGAAGCACATTGTCTCCAGAACGTGTACTGCCGGAGCGGCTTATGCTATTGCCAGAGCGCCGTGTCTTCAGTGTCAGAGCGCCCTATGCAACTGCCGGAGCGCTGGGGCTCCAAAGCATGTATTGCCAGAGCGCCATTTGAGACAGTCAGAGCGCATTTCTGTAAAAAAAAGGGTCATTTTATACAGGAAGGGCATTTCCATCAAAAAAAAACAAAGGTAACTTTTTTGGTTGGGGGGTATTTGCATGGAAAGTATAATTTTAGAAAAAAATTTGAGAGAAAAGGTTTGGATGGGGTAAATTGTATAGATAGTGTATTTTGAAGGTTCTTTTATAATTTTTTATAAAAATTAAGTCATAAAATCCATCAAAAAAATAGATTTATCAAGAGGCCTACATTTCTACATATATTAGCTTGGTTGCATAGAAATTGGGTCCTTTTAATTAAAAAAATATATGAAATCATTTACTTTGGAATAAAGTGATCACAATAAATCTTGACCATTAAATGTGAAATTAAGTAGCAGCTTATATTTCATTAACCAAATTTAAAATTAAAATTTTTTTTTTATCACATTTTACGATACATTACAACACTCAGATTTCACATCAGATCTCAATATTAAATTTCAAAAGTAAATGGCCTCATTACATACAACCCTTTCGTATTTTACCGAACTAAGGAACCGAAGAAAATATCTTCACTTTCATTCATACACTTTATCCGCACGTGCCTATCTGTCTGGCACCGTCTCCGTATTGGCCAATCCACCACCGGCCGCCACCGCGTGCCATGTGTAGGGCTCTAATTGGCCAAACCAGAACGACCCCCGCCTATTCTCATCTCTTAAACCCTATTTTTTTCATTATTTTATTCTTTTTTAATCCCATTATCATAATTTTCCTTTTTTATTTTTTATTTTGTATCCTTTTTCATTTTCTCTCTCTAAAATTGGTATATCAGATTCGGAAAAAGGCTATCGGGTTTCTCTCTCTAGGGCTTCAATGGTGTGCAGGGTCCGCGCGGCTCTCGCTGCTAAGCCCTGCATATTGTAACAATAAGGCAGAAAGAGAAAGGTGGTCTCTCAACCTAGGGCTAGGGTTTCTCTCTCTTCATCTATGGATGCCCTGGCGGACTGCACCAACAATGGTGGCCATATCCAGCACCTTCAGGTTGACCGCTTCTTGTTGGAAGCTCTTCAGAATCCTCGCCATCGCCTCACCGGTAAACCCTAGGGTTTTTGGCTTTCGTCAATTCAAAGCATCGGAAAAGCTAGGGTTTTCTGTTTAGGGTTTTTGGTTTTTGCGTGGTGGTTTTTTTGAAAAGATCTGATGTGCATATGGACACATAGAAAGACCTAGATTTTCTGTCTTGCATGGATTCCTTGCATCAAAATCTAGGGTGCTCTTGTGTTTATTTTCTAGGGTTTTTGATGTATGGTTAGCATTTATTTGACAAGATCTAAGGCCTTAATTACTTCTCTGGTGTGAGACCTATGCTATTTTTAGTGGATTTAGAATAATGAATTTGGGTTTCTGTTCTTTCTAGTGTTCTGGTTTTTGCGTATCTTCTTTGACAGGATCTTAGGTCTCTGTCGCCTCACTGGTGCGACATGGACTTTTTCGTTTCTCATGAATTCTGCACACTATAAACTAGGGTTTATGACATTGGCTTATTTGGTATGACCGTTTTGTTTTCATCATCTCACTTGTAAGACCTAGGATTTTTCATTTATCTGTCAACTCGACTCATCACAATCTAGATTTTTTGATTGTTTCTATCGGGTTTCTGATTCTCGGTAGTTGTTTCTTTCTCTAGTTTTAAAATTTGTGATTCTAGGGTAGAGATTATTCTGTGATCTGTTAATGAATTATCACCTTGACAGGCAGTGTTTGTGTTTCTTCTCTCTGTGGCTAACCAGTTGGGGTTTTTGGTTATTTTGAGTCGTATTTTTTGTGAAGAACAGGGGATTCTTGTTAAAACTCGTTGTCTTGGTCTTTGTTCAAGTAACTTTATTTTGTTAGTCAAAATTCACAGTTGTTATCTCCATCAATTCTGTATCCAACATTTGGGTTTCTGTTCTTTCACGTGGGATTAAAGAATCAGGGCTTCTTTGTGCAAGGTGGTTTCTTATGCAATATCTTACTTTTCTTTGATTTTTTTCTGTAATCGATATAGGGTTTATTTCCTACTCGTTTCATATCCAAGACCCATTTGGCTACTGTTTTTTTGAGAATTGTTGATTTTGTATTAATATTAGTAAAAAGTGAAGTTACAAAAAGTGTATACAGGCATCCCAAAAGTGGGTGCTCAGAGTACCAAAATAGGGGAGAGAAGAAAGAAATAGATACAATTACAAAAAATGGACCTTCATTGGGTCAAATTTAGGAGGAGTTGCTTCTGTTGGGGGTCCTTCAATATTGTGGAGAGACCAAGTTACAGGCAGGAATGGTGAGGCGAGAATAACAATATGGTTTTTAGGTATTGGGATGTGATCAAGGACTAAGCTAGCATATACTCTGAGCTAAGCACCGATGAGTAGGACGAAAAAAACCAAGGCATTGAACTATTTTACCATCGTCAAACCTAGGAACATGCTTGGATAACTTGCTGAGGAGTGATAAGGAATTTTCCTAGGAAAGAGGGGTATCTGGTTAAGATCAGATTAGAAGGGGAGTTGGGGGGTGGGGGGATAGACGAGGAAGAAAAGCAGGGAGGGGAAAAGAAGGAGAGAGTTGCATAGGAGAAAGAAAAGAACTTGAGGAAGAGGAGTAAAGAGCCTTATAGAAGTGAGGAAAGGCGAATGGGGGAAGAGGAGTTACAGAGAGTAGAATTAGAGAAGGAATCAAAAGAGTAGACAGAAGGAATCTGGCTAAAGCTTGGATTTGAGAGGGATAGGATCGACCAAAGTTTATTGAGAAGAGGAGAGGGATCCATAAGAGGAAGGAGAGACGAGAAGAAGGATGAGAAGGATGAGACATTAAATACCCCAGCAAGATTGGGAGCTCAGATGATAGAATCCTTGTGGGAAAGAGTAGAGAAGAAAGGATTTAGTAACCTAAGGAAGCAGTTAAGAGAGATTATTTCCAAGTCATTTAGGTTTCTTCTAAAAATTGGGGTCCTAACCAATGAGGATCCCCTACATTCCATATAAGTAGCCACAAAGGAATCTTGATTAGTGGCTAAGACGAAGACAGAAGGGAAGAGATGTTCTAAAGATTGGTCACCGATCCAAGTGTCCTTCCAAAAACTAACTCTATAGCCAGAACCTATTTGAAATCTGTTGTGAGATTTGAACAAAGATGTTGAGGATGAAATAGATTTCTAGGCACTGTAGGCTTGGTGCAAAGGGGACCCAGGAAGCCAACTGTCCACTCCCATGCGGTATTTGGCATTGATGACCTACTTCTAGAGCAGAGGGTGTGGAGAGGTGAATTTCCACCGCCATTTTCCCAATAAGGCGGAATTCATAAGGGTAATTTTCCTTATGCCAATACCTCCATACTTTTTAGGAGTACAAATCCTATTCCAGGCAACAAGGTGGAATTCATGCCCTTGGGATTCCCCATTCCACATAAGATCCCTCATAAGGTTCTCAGCGCAATTAGCTATGGATATCGGGATATGGAAAAGAGACATTTGGTATATCGGGATGTAGGCCAAAGTGGCTTTGATAAGGGTAATTCTACCACCCAGGGACAAGAATCTTCCTTTCCAATTAGCAAGCTTTTCTTTATAATATTATCCAGAAGCTGTTTTTAGGCTTGCCTAAACAGAGGGGGATGCCTAAGTAGGGTGAGGGGAGGTGGTCAATGGCACAACCTAAATGAGTTAGAGATTGAAGTTCAGAATCCTAGACACAAATACCTAACATTTTCGTTTGGGTCATGTTAACCTTCATTCTTGTAGTGAGTTCAAAACATCTGAGAAAAAAACCAGAGTTTATCCAATTGAGTAGGCTTTGCCCCACAAAAAATCAAGGTATTGTCCGCATAGAGAAGATGGGACAAAATAGGGCCTACTATGAAGGTATGAAACCCCGAGAGGAAGCCTTGCTTGAACAACCTAGACAAAGTTCTGGTGAAAAGTTCTCTTATCAAGGTAAATAGGAAGGGGGAGAGGGGTCTAATGCCCCTAGAAGATTGGAAGAATCCCTCTGGAGAGCCATTAATGATGATAAAAAAGGAGTGTTAGAGATACATGCTTTAATTCACGATCTCCAACAGGGATCAAACCCCATGCGAAGCTAGATTTCGTTAAGGAGGACCCAATCTACTATGTCGTCGTCCTTCTCCAGTCTAACTTTGTGACTAAGGCCTTAAAACCAAAGGTGTACCTAGAGTGAATAGCTTCTTGGGTCACAAAAGCCCCATCAAGGATTTGACGATTCACAACAAAGGCCGATTGAGTGGGGGAGATGACAAAATGTTAAAACTTTTTGCAGTTGGATGCATGGACTTTAGAGATAATTTTATAGGAATTGAGAAGGCTGATGGGACAAAAGTCTTTTACTTTCCCAGCCCCCTCGACTTTGGGGATTAGAGACATGAATGTGCAATTCAGCACAGAGTTCAGGTGACCTTTGTGAAAGAAACATTGAAGAACGTTAGGAGGTCAAGGGCTAAGGTGTCTTAGAATTCTCGAAAAATGAGCACAGGGAAGCCATCAGGCCCATGTGCTCTGTGGCCAGCTGAAAGACTGTTTGATGAATTTCTTCTAAAGAGAAAGGTCTTTTTAGCCAAGAGGCTTCTTCTGAGGGAAGGGCGAGAAAAGATAAATCTCCTAAGCTGGGTTTAGGTGTGAATGGAGCGGATTAAATTGTTTTAAAAAACCTAATGAATCGAAAAGACATTGATCTCCTACATAAATGTGGGTGATGGCATTCCGAGCCTCTTAGAGCTAGCAGTTTTATGGAAGAAGGTTGTATTCCTATCCCCCATCTAAAGCCATTTTATCCTAGATCTTTGGTGACAGAAAGTTTTTCCTTACTTGAGGAGATTAATGAGGTTTTGCTTGGAAGTTGTCCTATTCAAGATTTCCAGTGCAGAAAGAGGTCTGGACCCTTCTAAGGTATCTAGACTTTGGATCTAGGCTAAGTAAACATTTTTTTGTTGTCTGAAGTTTCCCGGGCAATTACGGCTTCATTGTTTAATGGAACTTTTAAGGAGCTGGAGTTTATTGGCGAGTCTGTAACTTGCCCAACCATACATCAAGCAAGAGGACCACCACGATTTAACCAATTGGGGAAAGGTGGGTTCATCCATCCAAAAGAGTTCAAACCTAAAAGGCCTAGCTGCATCTTGGATAGGGCAAGTGTTCAGGATCATGGGTGTATGGTTGGAGGTTATTTTGGGGAGAACAGATGCTCGGGTCCTAGGAAACTTGGACTCCCATTCATTGGAAATGAGGAATCTGTTAATGTTGGTCATTACAGGAACAAATACATGGTTTGACCAACTGAAAGAAGCACTAGAGAGAGGGATGTCTAAAAGTGGAACACTAGCAATGAAGTCCTAAAAGGCTCTCATGGAGGCTGATATACTTCCTCCCAAGCTTTTTTCATGGTTCCATCTGACAACATTAAAGTCACCTCCAAGTATCTAGGGGACATTCGGAGCTGTTCCAGCCAGAGATTTTGTCTTTTAATGGGGCAATTGGGACCATAAATAAAGGTGGTTTTGAAGAGAGAATTATCTGATAATCTCCTTAAGAGGATATTTACCAAATAGTCTTCTATAGCTGAGGAGATTGTTTGGAAAGATTTCGGGTTCCACAAGACCCAAATGCCTCCAGAGTGTCCAAGAGAATCCTTAGCAGTCCAACTGCAAGGCTTTCTTCCCAGACTTCCCTAATGAGAGAAAGATTAGGGGCAGGGAGTTTTGTTTCAAAAAGAGCTAGGAATCTAGTTTATGACATGTTACAAGGGAGTGCATTGCACTATGCTCAGTATGACTACCAAGGCCCCTAATGTTCAAGCAAAGAATCCTCATTTGGGAGAATTAGGAGGTTGGGTGGTTCTCCTTTTGGACCTTCTCTTCTTGGCGCTCCGTGAAAGGGAGGCCAGAAGGGGAACAAAGGTAGAAGAATGTGCGTTGGTGTTATAATTTACACCTGAATGAAGGTTGGAAAATTCTTTAATACCTTTAGGAGGTTTAATGGAAGTAGTTACCTGAGCTTGACCAGCTTTGGCTGTAAGGGAATGAGCAAGATCCAAGACGTTACCA